TGCACACGTATCAGATGCACACACCATGCAGCCTTGCTTGCTGTACTTTTCCTGCCTGCACTGAGACACCCACTTGCACCAACGATCAGGCTCACTCCACATCTCCCTGCAGCACTGGGCTCCTCCAGGCCCTGTCTATTGCTTTATGCTCAACCATGGACCTCCTTACCCAGATGGCACAGAGGAAGTCCCTTGTCCTCTGGAAAGGTGCCCACAGGCTCAGGAGCCCTCAAACAGATCTTTGCTGCAGCCYAATAATTTCTTTTCCTTCCAGAGGATCCAGGTGGACAGATGTGTCCACAGCTACAGTAGAATGAGTGTTTGCCCAAGAGGCCTGAGTGACTTCTGAATCTTCAAGACCCACATCTTCTAGGAGTGTCTGAAGTGGTAATAACAAATCCTGGAGTGCTTGCATGCCCCTCATCAGTTCCACTGCAGAGAACTCCGGCCAGTTGCCCTGTTGATTCTTTGTAAGGAGTGTGATGGGAGGAGCAGACTGACAACCTTAACACTGATGGTTTCAAATGCAAAAATGAATGAAGTGAGAGCACATGTGCGGAGCAGGAGCCCAGGAGTGAGGGGCTTGTGCATGGGAGCAGATGATGAAGAATGCCACTCTACAAGCACAATGCTCAATGGCAGCAAGCACTTCAGAGTACCTTGTACCTTGTCTACTTTGTGTATGTTTGAAATTGTCATTATAAGATGCTTATTGACAGCAAGTACCAATATGACAGAGGATCTAAAGGGCATCAAATCCAAAAAAGAAAAATTAAAAGGGAAATCTTAGTGCAGGGTGCCATGATTTCTCAAGTTGGCGATGATATGGCAAGATTGCCATAAGTCACTGAGTCAATCTTAAGGCAGGAGGCAGAACCATCTTTATTTACCAGCTGGTGGGCCAAGGGGTGCAAGGCTACACCTTCAACCCCTTCATGGGATAGAGGACACCTTTTAAACATGCCAATTTATTAAATCATATGTGGCTGTCACTATGAGTTAAGACTACAAATATCAGGAGATCCAAAATCATAAGCAGAAGGGTAAGTGTGGTACATCACCTATAAATTATTTGAGATTATCTTCACTCAGCCTTGAGCCAGGGAGATTTAGGTTTGGCATTGAAAACTATTTTGTGGCTCCTCCCACTTAATGGGTTATGCAATATCAGTGACCTCTGTCTTCACTCAGCTAGGGAGACCACTTTTGTACCTCTGGAGTTGAGCATAACCCATTGGAAACTGGACAGCTCACAGCCCACCTCCTATCTTAATTGGTGAAGAAAATTCTAAGGGAAACCTTTTATGTTTTCCTTATATAAATAAAGCAAACACAGGTTCTTGCTCTCTCTTTCCAACTTGGAAGCTTGATCCCTAAGATCACAGAGCCATCTTGCCCTTCCTTTATAAAATTGCTTACTATTTCCTGTGGTTTCTATGCTGTTTTTTGTTTTTTGGCCTTAGCTTTTATTCCACAGCCAGCCCACTCCACASAGAGGAATCTCAAATCCCACTGCCCACATGGGACATGTGTGAGAGGAAAATGTGTCAAAATGACCTTAGTTGAGTACAAGTTGAAGAATGGTCACCAACATCTACACAAACATTCTCTGACACGGTACATTACCCAAGAAAAATGGAAACAAACAAACAAACAAACAAACAAAAAAACCCAGAACAATTGAACATGGTATAAGAACAGAAACATTTGTATTTCTAAGCAGGGTGTGCTAAGCATAATCAGTATGATGGGGGGGGGGTTCTCATGGAAGAAGCATTTCTTACATGACATGGAGTCTCAGGATAAGGTGGAGTCTGTTTGGTCATTGCCCATAGCTGGGCCCATAACAGTGAGAAGGGATCTTCAACTCTATTGACTGCCAGTGAATCAACCTTTGTTAGCAGTTTCCTTGGCATAGCACTTGGGGATGCTGTACAATTCATGCATATGTTCAAATGATAGTGCTCACTCTGTTCTCCAAGTTTCTTTAAGGATGTAGCAACCAGAAAATAGAACCTTTCAAAGGCAAGTCCCTTGAGTGACTTTTGAGACAGCAACCTATGTGTTCCCACAGAAAAAACCTACCATCCTTGGCTCTTCCCGTAGGGCTATGGAAGTCTGCTGGGAACTCCCTTAARATCATTTAAGCCAGGAACAATAGCACACACCTGTAATCCCAGTGGCTCAAGAGGATAAAGCAGGAGGATGAAGAGTTCAAAGCCAGCATCAGCAACTTAGCAAGGCCCTAAGCAACTCAGCTAGACTGTCTCTTAAAAAACAAAAAACAAAAAACAAGTTCTCTCACTGAACATTTAAGATTTGTATGGGTATATATTTCTTTCAAGGCACAGTGGCACATGCCTGTAATCCCAGGGTCTCAGGAGGCTAAGGCAAGAGAAGTGCAATTCTGAAGCCAGCCTCAGCAACTTAGTAAGATCCTTTCTCAAATAAAAAATTAATTATTTTCTCAAATAAAAAATAAAGTAGAAATGTTGCTCACTGGTATAGCAGCCCTGGGGTTCAATTCCCAGTACCAAAAAATAAAGTGTTTTTTATTGTGATACTGTTTCACATATAGGTCTTAAAAAATACCAGTATTCCATATTAATTTAGGTAAAGTAGAGATAGGGTAATCAGCCTTATTGCACTTGATCTCTTGTTTCATCGRTTTAGCAGTCTCCCTTCTGTATTGAAGGTGACTGGTTATAAAATTCTCATAGATGACTGGGCTCAAGACTTACCATCTGGAAGCAGTTATTTCCTTTTTTGTTTGGGAAACTCTGATTATCCTTCATGAAAACAAGAAAAATTAGGGGGAGATGTAAATATATAATTTTTTAAGTGAGTGGCTTATGCTATACTACAGTTATAGTGAGGCAAATAAATGAAACACACCACATACACCCCTCACTTTTAAAAAAGAAATGTGAACTTCCCATTTCAAAGCCTGCTGTCCAGACTTGCTGACAAGCACATAAGGTGGCATTTGGGGTCACAGTGCTCAAAATAGAACCACATGCCACTGGAAAAAGGAGGAAGTCATAATGAGTGACTGGACCTTTTCTTTAGAATTTATAAATTTGTGATTCAGGTATTCCACTTCTGGTTATGTGCTGAAAGTGAGTGAGGGGTTCATAAGCACAGTGTTAGGGGGAAAAACAAGTACTAGGGCTCTAGGGTTCAATTATACTGTAGGGTAACTACAGCTATTAATGTGTGGTGCATTCAAAGATGAGAAAAAACACTCTCAATGTTTTCCCCATAGTGATGAAAACTTTGTGATGTGTGAAAGTTATGTGAATTACTGATTGGATCATGTGATATGTACATGTGTTGAAACTTTCCTCTAAACCCAATAATTACAATTCTTCCCTGTAAGTTGAAAATTATTCAAAATGAATGCAATAACTCAGGCTGGGGTTCTAACTTAGTGGTAGAGCACCTGCCTAAAATGGGTTTGATCCTCACCAGTAAATTAATAAATGTATAGACAAATAAATAAATGTATCAGGTTCAACAAAAAATATTTTTAAAAAATGCAATAACACCTCAGTTACTCCCAAATTACAATTTAACTTTCCATAGAAAGTTAAAAAATATATAAAAAATAAAATAAAATATTAAAAACTGATACCAGAAATTGAATCCACTAGTGCTTAAAAATCACATCCCCAATTCTTTTTGTTTTATATTTTGAGACAGGGTCTAAGTAGCTGAGATTGGCTTTGAACTTGGATCCTCCTGCCCCAGCTTCTTGAGTTGCTGGAATTAAAAATATATAACACTGAGACTGACACCTGTAGTATAAAATTTTAGAGTACTAAATCAAAATAAAGAACTCTGGGGCTTATTTTCATGTTCTTATACCTTATCTCTAACTGTATCAATTTCTCCATAATTACAAACAGAAGAAATGAATATAGATCTGATTTATGGGAAAACTATTCTCCAAATAAGTTGCCATTTCTAAAAAGATTAATGGAGATATTTTAGTATGTTTTTATTATCTGTTATGTGCAACCCTTAGTAAAGAGGTACAGTGTGATACCTCTGACATAATACCATGATTCAATACAAAACAATGTTAACACATTAACACTTTTTACTTTTATTTAGTAACAAAATCCATACATACTCTGAATAAAGTGTTTCAAAATCCACTGTAAAGTCTCAAAAATATAGATTAACAACTCTCAGGAAYAAGTCTTCTGATAAAAAGATCTGTTAGGATTGTTTTCTCTAGTTTTCAAAAGTGAAGATATTGAGTAATTTTTGAGACAAGTTTTGTACACTATTCTATGATTATTTGAGAGAATTTTTTATGCTACATTAGCCAAGGGTATTTAATAAATTTTATGCAAAAGTTAAAGGCAGGGCTGGGGCTGAAGTGCAGTGATAAAGCACTTGCCTCAGAAGTGTGAAGCATTGGATTCAATCCTCAGCACCACATAAAAATKAATAAATAAAAATAAAGATGTTGTGTCCATCAACTACTAAAAACATTTTTTTTTAAGTTAAAGGCAATTCCTCATTTTCTTCTCACTTCAAGTTATGAGGTAYAGATAAGGGCTTTGCCATATTTAAAAATATTTTTTCAAGGGATTTATTCAGTATAGATATTTTGCTGTTATCAATTGGCCTTATATCTAAATATAAGGCATTTTATTTCAGGCAAATGTCTTTCTACATTTTCTAYAGATATCAGGTTTCTAATGTTAAAGAATGTTTGAAATTTGAGTAAAGACTTGGACATGGTATTTAAATTGTTTAGGGGTTCTATGCATTATGAATTCTCCAGTGATAAGCAATGTTTGAGAAATTGCTGAGGTCTGCAACAGTTTTTACACTTGTATTATCTCTCCCCATTACTCAGTGCTTCAGTGAGTAAGGAATAAACAACTATAGACACATTGTCACATTTGGGTCTTTGTATAATTTCACTCTCCTATTATTCATGTAATGTGTAATAAGAGTTGAACAATTTTTAGCACAATGTTAACATTTGTAGGACTTTTCTCTAGTATGAATTTTCTGATGTTCAGTAAGGTGTGGTCTTTGAGTAAAAATTTTTCCACATTCTTCACATGCGTAGGGCTTCTCTCCAGCATGAATTCTCTGATGTTGAGTAAGGTTTGAGCTTTGAGTAAAACTCTTCCCACATTCATTACATTTGAAGGGCTTCTCTCCAGTATGAATTTTCTGGTGTTGAGTAAGATGTGGTTTTTGAGTAAAACCTTTCCCACATTCTTCACATTTGTAGGGCTTCTCACCTGCATGAATTCTCTGGTGTTGAGTACGGTGTGAGCTTTGAGTAAAACCTTTGCCACACTCTTTACATTTGTAAGGCTTCTCTCCTGCATGAATTCTCTGGTGTCGAGTAAGGCATGTTTTTTGAGTAAAACTTTTTCCACATTCTTCACATTTGTAGGGCATCTCTCCAGTATGGATTCTCTGGTGTTGTGTAAAGTATGCTCTTTGATTAAAACCTTTGCCACATTCTTCACATTTATAGGGTTTCTCTCCTGCATGAATTCTCTGGTGTCGAGTAAGTTGTGAGCTTTGAGTAAAACTTTTCCCACAATCACTACATTTATAGGGCTTCTCTCCGGTATGAATTCTGTGGTGTTGAGTAAGGTATGCTCTTAGATTAAAAGCTTTCCCACACTCATTACATTCGTAGGGCTTCTTTCCTGCATGAATTCTCTGGTGTTGAGTACGGTGTGAGCTTTGAGTAAAACCTTTTCCACACTCATTACATTTGTAGGGCTTCTCTCCTTCATGAATTCTTTGGTGTTGAGTAAGGCTTGAACTCTGAGGAAAACCTTTCCCACATTCATTACATTTGTAGGGCTTCTCTCCAGTGTGAATTTTCTGGTGTTGAGTAAGATGCGGTCTTTGAGTAAAACTTTTCCCACATTCTTCACATTTGTAGGGCTTCTCTCCTGCATGAATTTTCTGGTGCTGAGTTAGGTGTGATCTTTGAGTAAAATCTTTCCCACACCCTTCACATTTGTAGGGCTTCTCTCCTGCATGAATTTTCTGGTGCTGAGTTAAGTGTGATCTTTGGGTAAAATCTTTCCCACACCCTTCACATTTGTAGGGCTTCTCTCCTCCATGGATTCTCTGGTGTTGAGTAAAGCATGTTCTTTGAGTAAAACTTTTCCCACATTCTTTACATTTGTAGGGTGTCTCTCCTGTATGAATTCTCTGGTGTTGAGTAAGGGTTGAGCTTTGAGTAAAATCTTTCCCACACTCATTACATTTGTAGGGCTTCTCYCCGGTATGAATTCTCTGGTGTTTGGTAAGGGATGAATGATCCCTAAAAGCTTTGCCACATTCCTTACATTTGTAGGTCTTCTCTCCATGATGAATTCCCTGGTGTCGAGTAAGGTGTGCTCTTCGATTAAAAGCTTTGCAACATGTTTCACATTTGTAGGGCTTCTCTCCTGTATGAATTTTCTGATGTGTGGAAAAGGCTGAATGAGCATTAAAAGCTTTGCTACATTTCTTACATTTGTAGGGCTTCTCTCCACTATGAATTCTCCGGTGTTCAGTGAGGTGTGCTCTTCGATGAAAGCCTTTCCCACATTCTTCACATTTGTAGGGCTTCTCTCCAGTATGAAGTCTCTGGTGTTCAGAAAGGTATCCTCTTTTTGTTAAAACTTTCCCACATTCTTCACATTTGTAGGGATGCTTTCCAGTATGAAGTCTCTGATGTTTAATAAGGCTTGATCCGAAAGTAAAAGCTTTGCCACATGTCTCACATTTGTAGGGCTTCTCTCCTGTATGAATTCTCTGGTGTTTGGTAAAGGTTGAATGATCCTTAAAAGCTTTGCTACATTCCTGACATTTGTAGGGCTTCTCTCCTGCATGAATTCTCTGGTGTTTAATAAGATATACTTTTTGAGTAAAACATTTCCCACATTTTTCACATCTGTGGGGCTTCTCTCCTGTATGAATACTTTGGTGTTGAATTAGGACTGAAAAATTCTTAAAAACTTTTTCACATTCCTTACATTTGTAGGTTTCCTCATTGCTATGCCATCTCAGGTGTTTAGAAAGGGTTGAGCAATTATTAAAGGATTTGCCACATTCTTCACATTTGTAGGGTTTCTCTCCACTATGAGTTCTGTGGTGTTTAACAGGGGGAGGTCCTAGATTAAAAGTTTTGCCACATTCTTTAAATTTGTAGTGTTGATCACTGCTATGGTACTTGTGTTTAGAAAGGGGTGAGCAACTCCATGCTTGGACACATTCCTTAAATTTGGGGGGCTCCCTTCCAGGAGGAGCTCCACTGTATTGAGGAATGCTAGCCGCTGGGTTAGAAGCTCTCTCACGTTCCTCACATTTGCAAGGCACCTCTTGGCCCTGAGTACTTGGATGGGTCATCAGCTTTGAGCACTCAGGAAAGGCGTCCCCACATTCGTCATCTCTGTAAGAGTTCTGTGCACAATGGCCACACTGATGTTCTCTCATATTGCAACCAGAGCTGGAGTTCTTCTCTGTTTTGCTACATTTGYAATTGTTTTCTCCAATGTAAGTACACTGGTTGCTTAGAGTAGAGACCTGGCTGAAGGTGTTGCTTGTTTCATTACATGTGTTACACACTTTCCAGTAATCTATATCTGAATTTTGATTAAGCAGTAATGAGTGCATTGGGGCCTTCCCACAATCATTAAAAGTGTATGTTTGGGAACAAGAAGGAACTTTTTGTTCATTGCAGAATAATGGACAGTTCGTAAAGAAACTTTCAAAATGATCCCTTTTAGAAACTTGTCCTTCAGTTATGCATTGAATATTTTTCTGAGCTATTYCTTGAGGTCTGCTGATGGTAAAATTTTCATTATGCATAGTCAGTTCTAATTTGTCTTGTCCTTTATAATATGATTTCTGACCTTCACTCTTACCTACATAGTCTCCATTTTTTTGTTGTTGTAAATAGTCGAGGTTACAATATCCATATCTTCTCTTTATCATTTGCTTCAATAAATGTTCTAAGCCAGGCTCTGGTGATATTTCCTGAGTATGATGAGAGATCATGGCTGAAATAAATAACAATYACTTTACATATTATACTTGAAATATCTCTTGCTAATACAACATGAAATTATAGCAGTCAGGACATTAGCAGAGTGGTAGAATAGTAACATTAAAGGCCACAGTTACTCTGTAAATATATAGACTAAATAACAATGGATAGACAAAATTACTTTGTGAGAATTACCCAAACCATGGTGAGAGTTCACAGTATTCACCATGAGTATATCATTAAGAAGAATAATGTGGTAGAGAAAAGAAAAGTATCCACTACAGGTCTTCTCCTTGAGAATACACCATTGTACAATTAGGAAAAATCCAACCACTACCTTCTTCTCTCTCAATAGAAAAAGGATAATGTGAACCTTGAACAGTTCTGGCTTTCTTTGGAATTGTCTGAAAACCACTTTCTGTCTATCATGACACAGATCTGGATGTAAGAGAGATTTTGGGTAACAATAACAAATATTCAAAAGAAGGTAAAGAGCCTCTGATCTCTCATTAGAGATTTAGAGAAATCTTTTTAATGGTAAACACACACACACACACACACACACACACACAATGTCAGTGTTACCTGGATAAATTTACTACATGGTGATCAAGACAAATGATTTGATTTAATTTTTATAATTTTGTTCATCTACTGATTCACTTCATTAACAAATTCAATGTCATGTATTTACTAAGTATTTCATGGTATTTTTAAATTATTTTAAAAATAATTTAAAATAATTATTTCATATAATTATCATGTTACTGCTTACAAAACACTGCATTCATTCTATAACCCTTTGTCAAGAATACAGTACATTAGCTGGTATAGTGACACAAGCCTGGAATTCCCACAACTCAGGAGGCTGAGGTAGGAGGATCCCAAGTTTCAAACCATCTGCAATAATAGAGTGAGGCCATAGGCAAGTTAGAAAGACCCCATTTCAAACTGAAAAATATAAGAGGGCTGGGGACGTGGCTCAGTAGTGCTTTGGGGTTCAATACTTGGTAACTCCCCCAAAAAAGAATATAATACATGATACTCACTASGTAGTACAATACAACTTTTGACCTTCTGATGCCCATTAAAATAAGATTTTGCAGACTTTGGCCAACATTCCCCAAAACACAGCAGTAGCTGGTAACCATCTTACTCTGCACTTTTGGTTTCCACATGTGAGTCAGACGAGGCTGTGACAGGGTATTTCAATGAATAAGTATATAAGTTATATTAAAGAAACTGCTTTATGACACTAATATATTACAATACCTTCACCTAGTGGTCTCCATGAATGTGCAGATTTTTGAGACACCCCCAATAGTGGAAATGCTGTCAAATCACACTCACCCTCACAAGGAAAAGTGTTTGAGTTGTTAATTTGAATGTACTGGAATATCACCACAGGAGAAGGAGGAGACTAAAGAAGCTGAATACATGCTAAACATAGGGCATTACCTATCCTTCTAGGACAGCAAAGGAAATAAACTTAAGCTTCTGGAAAACCATTTCTGTGGCATGATAATTTTTCCACCAACATTTGGAGGTTTGGTTTCTTCCTTGATCTTTGGGCCTCTCAACTACATCATCTGATTCATGAATTTCTATCCATCTGGGTACATSACTCAGGGCTCTCTCCTTTGCTCCAGAGGAAGGTGCCCAAATACAATCTAGATAATAAGATGTGTTCATTGGAAAATGAAATTATTACTTGTTGGAATTCTCCCTGTGACTACTGATGCTTCTATTCTGGTACCATAAAGGGAATAAATTGGACTTCGACATGTAGGTCACATCATTCCATATCACTGAATTACTGTTAAGTACCACTAATCTAAAGTGAAGGGTATATATAAACCCAAGAAAGGGAGAAACGAAGGACTGAAAGTAATGGCATTAACATTTTCTTCTCTGTAACAAAAACTGCCCAAGTCTTTCTTTATCTTGAAAGTAAGAATCTGAGACTCATTCATGAAGAGCAGAAGTGTCCAATAGATATTCATCAAGGGAAGACAATTATTCTATTAGGAATTCTGATTAATTAGGAATTCTGAAGGGAAGCTCTGCTCACCCAGGAAGACCAGGTTTCTGTAGGTCTCTAGCATCACATCTCTGTATAAATTCCGCTGAGCAGGCTCCAGGCATTCCCACTCCTCTTCAGAGAAATCAATGGCTATATCCCTGAATGTCAACAGTTCCTAAAATAAGAACAGATCAATTAACAGCACATTGACCATTTGATAATTCACAGAGCTTGTAAGTTGACTGAAGATGAAATGAGAGTTAGTAGACCTGGCTCTCAAATAAGTGAGTCACTTTAATTATTCAGGAAAATACTTTGAAACACAGTGATATTCTCTATTATCTAACTCAGAGGAAAGAGTGTCATAAGTTTAAAGAAGGAGGAGACTAAAGAAGCTGAATACATGCTAAACATAGGGCATTACCTATCCTTCTAGGACAGCAAAGGAAATAAACTTAAGCTTCTGGAAAACCATTTCTGTGGCATGATAATTTTTCCACCAACATTTGGAGGTTTGGTTTCTTCCTTGATCTTTGGGCCTCTCAACTACATCATCTGATTCATGAATTTCTATCCAATTATATACTATAATTACATAAAAAGTAAAATTAAGGCATTATATTATAGTAATATACACTTTAATTCCAATTATATAGAATAAGATAAATCATCTATTTCTCAGAAGAGAAAGTTATAGTGAGTAATAAGGATGGTTCTCAAATTTTAAATGCACAGCTACAAATCAGAGATTTACTAAAATACAGACCCTAGTTCAGTGGGTCTCAGATTGGACATGGTTTTCTGAATATGTAGCAATGATTCCAATTTAGTGATCCTAGTGCCAGTGGTCTAAGAGAAACTCTTCAATAGCAGTGAGGTAGACCACTATAAGAAAAAAACATTGAAGGATCTGAGTTCAAGTATTTTAAGAGATTTATGTACTTTATTAAAATAACAACTATCAATGACAATTCTTTTTGAACATTTCAAATATATTCTTCTCATTCTAAATATTTYCCATGTCTTAATGCAGATAACCCAAAGAATGTGATGGCAGTAATTGTATTAATCTTTTATGACATTTGCCAAACACTGGTAAAAAATGGTAGATCCTGATTTTTACCCAAGTTTATTTGAGTTGCAATTCAGAAAAAAAAAAATGCAGGGGAGCATTAAAGTCAAGATGAAATGGGAATGTTAAAAGAATTTTCAGAGTAAGGCAATAATCATAAATGAGAAGAGTAATGCAAACATGTTAAGAAGAAACAAGATCAGATTGATCAAATGATATTTAAGTTTCATGTAGACATACATAGAAATGTCAAGTTTATACACTGAACCAACAGACAATTTTTCATGCAAATGAAAATAAGTGGAATCCACTTGTGAAATATAAATCAATTKGGGGTGGATGCTATTTTAAAAGACACTATTGAGATACACATATGTAAGGATAGAGAATAAAATAAGAGCCACACTGTTCATTTTTTCCCTGTGAATCAAAATTTATTTTGAGGTACACTTTATAATTTTCAGGCACTTAGAAAGATATAATTTTTTCCATTTATGGAAAATGCAAGGAGATTATGAGGTGCATGTCTCTGAGCTGCAGGTGTAATAAAATGAAAGCCTGTGKTCTACTTCAGAACCTCCAGCAATAAAGTATCCCTGGTAAACTCAAGGCAGAGGCTGCATTCCCCAAAGCAAAACACAAAGAAAAATTACTAAGAAAGTAGAGTTTCTGTATCAAATATGATGGTTTATGTGGATTATTAAGAAAAAGTCTACCAATACACATGAAGACAAAGATACAAAAATTACTGTATGGGGAAAATCTGGCAGATAGCATTTATACAAAGCAAATAAGGATAAAACAGCTATAATAGAACAAATTGTTACCATGTGCCAATCGACATAAAAGGATACATCATTAGTGGCCAAATCAAAACTAAATGATATAATAGGGTATTTCAGTAGACTTTCCTTGGCATTCTAGTGATTGAGTCTCTTCTAATTATTCTGTTCTTTCAGGACATACTAAGGGGTAGTGAATGAGCATTTCATTAACTCTTGTACATTTATAGATGATGGAGCATCCAGATGGAACATAAACAAAGCATGGTACACTTCTTCAGCAATATCTAATGACTCATACATACATCCCCAGTGGGAATCTAGGACACCAAAACATTCTGATATCCATTTATCAAAAAGAAAACCTGTCAATACTGCAGGTCATATATGCCTGGCCTGGTTTAGGTGAACRAGTAAGAACAAAGGCCCCAGCCTAGGGGGTATATCTGGGCATATATATTTAAAGAGTTACAGTTGACTATTCTAAGAAGAAAAGAAAGCACAGTGGCTAAAACATGAAAGCACAAACCTGAAATGTAGAAATATAAAGGTCTACCCATTCCAAATATAAGGTAGTTTAAAAGGAAAATGCAAAGCCATCCCTTACCTGGGCTACACACCTGGAAACCAACTACATCTTCCTCCTCCTTCTCTAGGCTTCCTTCTCAGAAGTGACTGCCTACAATTCAAACCCATATCTGGAAAACATGGGTCTCAAGAAACAAAAACCATGGTTCCCAAGGACCTTCTTTTGTAGGCTCAAGATTTACTTAATAAGAAGTCACTGAGCTTTGACCTCTCTGCTTCCCAATTTTATTCATTTAGTTTTGAATGAGAAAGGACCCACAACTCAATTGGAAAAAGTATTTACACTCAGTGGGATTTTGTTCTGCAGTAGGGATTGAATCCAGGGACTATATATAGATTTACCACTGAGCAACACCCATAGCCCATTTTATTTTTTATTTTAAGACATGGTGTCCCTAATTTGCAAAGGCTGATCTCAAACATAAAATCCTCCTGCACTAGCCTCCTGAGTAGCTGGCATCTCAGGCACGTACCACCCACCATGCTGGCCAAACTCAGTATTTATGTCTACAGAGGAAATACATGTATAAAGCACTTACATTCATACCTCAAGAGGAATAGCAAAAGCACCCATTTTTTTTTTCAAAAAATATTAAAGAATTCTGTGTTTGGGATTGGAGTCTCTGACAAACTTCATGATTGTGGCATGCCTGGTGATTGGGTAGTTTGTGTGCAAAGACACAAAATGCTTGGCTGCTAGGAAGTTTCTGTGCAAAGACATGAATGCCTGACTACTAGGAAACTCCTGTGCAAAAGCACAGGATGCCTGGCTGAGTATTCTTCATGAGGAAACTGTTTCCCATGCTTAGAATGCCCAGCAGTTTCCCCTTGAACCTATTAAGATAACTATGCAGGCGTACTATCTAGTTTCTATAGTGATGTTCTTGGAGAAAAGGGCTCTGTGACTGTATTAACCTAGACCTTAGCTCAGTTAGCTAGCACTCGGGGTTAAAGGAATACTAAGTTACAATGTGGTCATGGTAATGGCAGGCTAGATAACTTGTGAGATACTAAGCATGGCTGCTGGGAGGAGCGGCCCCTTCTCTTCTTGCACATGAGAAACCCACAAAGAACACTTTGGAGAAGAAGAAAGGCAAATAAAACATTTAATTAAAATAACATAAGGCTGAACTCCTTTTCTAAAATCTAACTGTATCCTGTGGCTTTGAATATATTTTCTCTTATTTGAAGCTCTACTAATTAAATACATTTTAAAGCTAGGGAAAATTTGAAGCTGAAGTAAGAAATCTTTTGAAGGTGATGAGCCCAGGAATTGCAAAGCTGACTGTAATATAGACATGTCAGACCCAAGGTTAAAGTCAAGACATCCTAACATTTTGGACATTCTCCCATTCCTATTCTTACACACTGAAGTACACTGTGGATTCTTATACACCCTGAAGTGTGTGGGTATTCTCTGAACTCTGGGATATTCTCCTTGTATTCACAACTCAGAGAAAATGCAGAAAGGAGAATAATTTGTGTTTCCCCCTCAACACTATGATCCAATTTGTAGGCCAACAAAATCTTCATGCAATGAAGGTTATGGCAAACACATTCAAGTTCCAAGGGGTTACAGATATAGACAAAATAGAAAAAATAAGATGCCACTAAACCCCAAGTCAACCAGTTTTCCCTCAAGTCTCCACTTCAATCATAAGTCTGTCCTCTGGGAAGAGATAATCAGGAGGCTGATGGTCTACAGACATTCTAAGAGAAATACCCCTGTGTATACCAAGTGTCATACCCAGATAGTTCTGAAATCCAGCACCATGGAAAAACTGAGTAAGAACATGCCACCTAATAACGTTTATACTGAACTTTTCATTTCTGTGACATAAATAGCTAAAAGTCACAACTTAGAAGTGGAAACATTTATTTCAGCTCACAGTTTCAGAGCACTCAGGCCATGGTAGTCTCACTCCAAGACAGAAACATCATGGAAGAAGAGCATGGAGAAAACCTCTTCAGCTCATGGCAGCCAGGCAGCAGAGAAGGAGAAAGGTGCTGGAAGAAGATGATCCTGGTCAGGGCTGCTCCAATGACYCACCTCCTCCAACTAGTTCCCCTCCCAGTCTATTCAGTTGTTAATGGGCTAGTCCACAAAAGTCAGAACCCTCATAATCCAATCATGGCCCAAAAGCCCATCTCTGTACCTTGATGCAACTGGGCACCATATTTCAACATGTGAGATTTTGGAGACATCCCAGATATAAACCACAATACTTGTCAAAAATATGATGATAAGGTGACTGTGCCTAAGGAAGAAAAAAGAAGGCACTAAAGTAATGAAAAGAGTCTGGTAATAATTTGCTCTCCACCAATGTGAAATATTAACCTCCTAAAAACAAGCATTTTCAAAAGCATCATCCACTACTTAGGGGTATATGATAATTAAAATACTCTGTCAGTTTCAAATATTGCATGGGTAAAAATATTAATAATCCTATGAATTGCAAAAGGAAAATTGATATTTTTGAATCTGGAGGAAACTCAAAAATGAAGGATTTGTTGTCATTCTTGTGAGCAGCTATAGAGAGAACAGGGTCTATGTTTTGAGATCCTGTCTCTCATATTGTGGGAGAATCACAGAAAATGAATAACCCTGGGGAGAAAGAAAAAGCTGATGTCTACTGTCAACAAGGCACCTCCTACCCAGGAACCATATCCACCAAGGTGGCTTCTCCCAGGATTACGTTTTGTGTACTCTGCACAAACTGTGGAGACCCAGAGATGCCCAATGGTGGCTCTTTGTAACCAATGATGGTTCCAGCTGCAGGCTGATCTACCACCCCACCATCCAGTGGGTGATAAGGCCATATTGCCATAGTAGTGAACTTATCTGTAACTGGAGCTAATTTTAGGCAGAACAAAGTCCCTCCACGGCTGATTCTCCCTTTTGCCTAAAATCTGTAGATTTCTCTATTTTCTCACATTCWAGGTACTTTAGCACCCTTCCTCGAGTTCTTGCATGACCTGCAGTTCAGTGGGTGACACAAGCCCAGCAAAGACACCTGGGCCTCACAAGTAGAAGACACTCCAGAGCTCAAGAATCAGGACAAAGTCTTATACAACTGTGGAAGGACACCCCSTCCTTTCTAACTGCAGTTCCCACCCAGAATCCATGACTGGGGAGTGTTATCAGGCCTCACACAGGCATAGAGTGCCAGGAGTTGCATCCAAACTCTGGCTGAATGATGTCAGAGTGACACACTGTGGGCTGCAGCTCCTCTCAGCCAGTTTCATACTCATAAGGGAGTTTTGCATTTTGGCAGAGTTTTACTCTGGCCTTTGGGCACTGGCAGACTTGTGTTCCCCTTTCTTTACTGGGCTACTCCTACTCCTCCTAGACATGGAGCCACAGTGTGTGTGTCATACTACAACTCAGTGGCTCCAGCAAGCCAACTCTGCCCTCAGCACAGGAGAACAGCACAAGCCAGGCCTGGCTGCACCAGGAAGGGAGCCAGAGAGACTAGTGCATGCATTACTGAGGCTTTGGACAATTCTTTCCTAGTCTATTACATCTCAGCAAACAAAAGGTGCCCAAAAAGTAATGTAATTATTAAACACATTTAAAATGAGAGTTATAGAGCAGTAATTTTTTTTCAAAAGAGTTAAAAGAAAGAAAACAAACATCATGTGAGGAATTTGGTTGTCTCACATTTTAAAAAGAAAACCTGTTTTCAATGGAATAAACATGTTCATAAGCTCTAGAGCCAGACTGATGGATAATATGTATCTCCAGAAATAATCAGTTTCTGGAGGTGAGGCTTTAATTGAAGGGTTTAACTCTGGGAGTTCAACACCTGCTCCTGGACAATAAGAGTTCTATATAAGAAAATCAAGCAAATCCAAAGGACAGATTGATAAATTATACTCCATTAAAAGGTAGAGCAGTCCATAAGAATGTGGCATGGGGCAAAAAGAGACTATCTTACCTGAGAAATTATCTGTATGAAAGAAATATAAATGGAAGAATAWTCTCAGTAAAATATGTAAAACAGGAAGAAGTTATAAACACACAAATTAAATGTAAAAAATGATGGAAATTATTTTTAGATTTAAAAACCACATAAGAAAAGTGTTCGATGTCATAGATTATCAACAAAAGTAATATAAAATGACATCAAAATAAGTAAGGGTAAATGTTCATGAGGAACAAACATGCATGCATGCCCAGATGATTGGCACATTTCACTGACATTTCCTAGTAAATCTGAATGCATGCATAAAACACAACCCACTGTTTTTTTCCCAATGTGAAATATTCATGAAACATGAATGTTTGAGGACAAATAAAATATTTATTAAGTAAAATTGCTGAAATTTCCCTCCTGCCTACTCCCATGGAGTCTGACCCACCTCCACCTCAGCCCAAACACAGTCTTTTCCTGTCCCCTCCTAAGTTTATGCTGGCTTCACAGTAAAGGATTATTTGATCATACATCTGAATTTTGTGGGGGGGGGGGTACTGGGGACTGAACCCAGTAGCATTTTAAAACTGAGCTACATCCCCAGTTCTTGCTATTGTTCTGACCGCTCATGGTTTCACTAAGTGCCCCATACTGAGGACATATGAAGACTGTCATCTATCACAATGATCAGCAGGTTCTGAATTTTCTATTCTTCATCAACCCCAGCCACTCCCACCTGGCAGGTGTTCTATTTGCTTCTCCCTAGGAATGTGTCAGGGTCTATTTCATGGTTTGAACATAACCCTTGCTGCTGTTCCACTGTGGCTTATTTTACAAATGACTTGTTTTTTTCTTTCTCTTTTCCATCTATGCCTCCCTAACCATGAGGAAAATTAGATTAACCTTCTTCATGTCTTCAGTCAGAACTTAAACCAAGTTATATGTCCTTGAGCTCATGTACTGTGGGAATCAAGAAATCCAGAATTTAGGGATGGCACAGGAAGATCTAAGAAATAGGTCTCTCAAGGCTTCAAGGGAATTATGATGCTGGACAGGGCTCAGCTGGAGGGTAGTCTTTGAGTCATCACTTTAAAAGGACTTCTGTTCACCTTGTAATTAGAATCACAGCCTTTGGGACAGGAGTCCCCGGTTGTTGGGGACCGCAAATCAAGTAATCTTGCTTGAAAAGGAAACCCAGAGCAGGAGGAGGAAGAGGAAGAAATGTCAGCATCTCAGGGTTTGCTGTCATTCAGGGATGTGGTCATAAAATTCTCAGAGGAGGAGTGGAAGTGCCTATACCCTGCTCAGCGGGAACTGAGCGGGAACTTAAGGTAGCAGGCACCCAAGGTAGCGGGAGCCGGCTTATTGCAAAACAGCAGAGGTATATATACCTAAGTGATTACACACAGCTTGACTCAATTAGCATCATCCAGTTACAGCAATCAGCCAATAAGGAATCCCTACCATCTTAATGGCTCGGTGGCGTTGCCTCACAAACCACTCCTCCTGGCAAACTGCCAGGCACCATCTTGACTTGATTTGCGGTCCCCAACATCCTGTGTTGGGGTTTAAGTGTGCAGAGTTTAGCTCCCTCAGCCTGACACTTTGCAAGAAGCTGTGGCTGTGATTTAGGTCAGCTGAAGGCATGCCTCGCTAGGAGGAGGAAAAGTCCTCTTCCCCTTATCACAAGACACAAGCTTCTGCATGGTTTGGCCTAGAGGAAGAAGCTTCCTGCATACTGGACCTGGGAACAGTACATTCAGGGATTAGATAATGTCTACAAAGAACTTTGGGAGGGTACTTATCAAATGAACAGGAACAATCTGAATTTAGCTCTGTGTACCCACTGAGACATGATATTTGTGCAATGTAGATGAAATGTTACTGAAGAATTGCTTGCTTTGTTAGAAGAAGAATATAAAAGGAACATGCAAATAAACCTCAGCATGCAGTTGCAATTGCTGCCTTGGCTCTGCATCCCCTGTGTACCAGTGATTTCGCGACCCTTACCCAGGGACCCGAACGCACTAGACGTTCACAATCCTGTATTTCTCTTTTGGTAGAAAAGCAACAAAACTACCTTTTCCTTTTCTTCAAAACCTTGATTTCAGTATTGGATGAGTATTGAGAACAAGGACCAAGCKATCAGTGTCAAATTTGGTCACTGTGAAGAAAACCGAGAGTGCCCTGCTCCAGCCCTCTTGGGCAGGTTTGGTGCTCTGAGCAACCCCACTTCCACCCTGAAAAGCAAGCTGGCTGATGAATTCATTGATAGCTGAGCCTGGAGAATTAGGAGACAGGTGAGTTGCCTCAGGTTGTCCTGGAGGAGCTGTTCCTGTAAGTAAAGGGAGAGTTTGAGGGGCGTTCCCAACAGCTGCCAAGGCCCCTTGGCTTCAAGGACCTCTTGTCTTCTCTCCCTGAATGGTGTGCGGCTCCACCATGGGCCTATTCTGGGAAAAGGAATGCAGTGAAGTCATGCCAACATGGACATCTGGCAAGCTCCTCCTGTGTGCACACTGCGACCCTGGATTCCACACATCAGGTCTGCTACAGGGGAGCACCAGGTCCCTCTTTCTGTGGGCATCTATGGCACCATTGGTGTCAGAGKTGTGCTTAAGTGGCAGCTGGGGATCTAGGAAATGTGCCCCCATCTGGTCTGTTTTAAAGGGTCCTTTCAGTTGGTCCTGGTTTGGGGGATCCACTCTGGTTTACTCTGTGTTTTTGATTGAATGTTGCTGGCCCTTTGACACATGGGCAATTCTGCATTGATCCCATCTATAGACTCTTCAGAATAATCCTGGCTAAGAGAGCCAAGTATGAGTCTGTCTTTAAAAAGATGATATTTAACTGTAACAATCAGGCCACTGAATGACTTCCTTAACTTTTATAATCTTGCTATTGGAATTGGTGTGCCAAAGGTAGGTAAATGGAAGAAATTCTACATGTGCAGATATTCATGTAGTTGCATGAGGAGCCCAAATGGCCTGAGACTACATTGATAGTGTAA